TGTGTGTGTGTGTGTGTGTGTGTGTGTGTGTGTGTGTGTGTGTGTGTGTGTGACCTCCGTGCTGGCCTGTACGGTTCAGTATAATATGACACCAGCTGCAGAGGAAAGGTAAAAAGCTTCTTGGATTAAGGAACAATAATCCTTTCTGCTGCAATGCCACTGCAATGCAACACCCTTTGTCTTATTCAGGGATGCTCCTCAAGTGTGTGTGTGTGTGTGTGTGTGTGTGTACAAATATTTGAGGGGTGTGGGTAAAAGGGCGATTGTGTCGCCTCCTGTCAGAGGATAAATGATGGAAAGCAGTAAAAGGATGGCGCCTCGTTTTAACCTTTGCTGTTTTCGATGTTTGTCCATTAGTGCAATTATAAATGAAGCCGGCAGCCGCAGCGCTCACCTGATCTGACCTCCGCTGAGACGCTTTATTTTTACGCTTCTGATTCACGTCCTCCTCATTTCCCTCCCCGCCCTTTTCACCGCAAATGATAAATTCGGAGACTGAAGCCTCTTTGATTGATCGGCGAACACCTGAACCCGGCAGCAAACAGCAGGCAGTCGCAGTCAGAGAGGAGCGGGTGAACACGGCGGAGCATTTATGAGCTGAAGAGACAGATATGTACCTCAGGAGTCGGCCGAGACCTAAGCAGACCTTAAGAGAAGCAAATATGAGTAATCAGATGGAGAAACATGTCATTCTGTCCCTGCTCATTCAGAAATTGAGCATCTTTAGGAGTTTTGCTGCCCTTTAGTGACCCAACACAGCCCCAGGAAAGCTGTTTTCAATACGCTGATGGCATATGATTACATATTATAATTATTATTATCAGTTTAACAGGAATAGGAAGGGAAGAGGCAGTCCTGTCAAAGTCCAGTACCTGCTGAGATTCACTCCGACTCTGACTGCAGATGGATCTGAAAAATCAACAGCTATGAGGTTGTAGTTGTTATAGTTTCCCCGAGAGTCTGATCACCACAAACTGACTTGGCTCAAAGTCGGACTGCGACTGTTTGGAGACGGGCTGCCAGGTGAGAGGCAACCTGTGCAGTCATCGTGCAGTGTTGCACACTCGCAGCCTACTGCAGAGGAGACAGACAGGCCACGCCCATCGCCACAAACAGATTGTTGCAATGTGTAGATGATCTGTGTTTAGCAGCAGCTGTTTGGAGACTGGTTGCCTCCCACCAGGCGACCGGTGCGATCAAAAGTGCAACATCTTCCATCTCTAGGTGACCTTGTTGCCTGGCGACATCTTTTGTTTCCTAGTTTATTTCCTCGTTGCTTTCCAGGTTGTCGAAACACAAACAGACCTTTAAACAAACGTCCTTCGCGTTTTTCAGGTGACGTTTTCATGGCGGTAAAACTACAGCTGATGTTTGTGGCTTTTTTGATGTGTTTATAACATGAAACCAACATTTTCCACATATTTTATTGACCTTGTTTTGTCCTTGCAGCTTCATGGATTTGTCATCATGATATTCGCCCCGTCAGCCCTCCCTTATCTTCAGCCTTGGCCCCGCCCTCTTCTTCGCCACCTCCTGTCAGAGTTCTGGCCTAATGGCTGCGCAGCGTCATGGAGACGGCTGAGCACGAAGGGCCACGCCCCTCAGTCTGTGATTGGTCAGGACTGGGCGCAGGTGTTAGGCCAGTCATACCCGCGTGATGACTTCACCAACGTCACTCCAAAGATCTTGGAAAAGGTGGGCCGCAACCTCCACAACCAATCCCATCATCCTCTCTGGCTGATCAAGGAGCGCATCAAAGCTCACTTCTACAGGTAGGCAGCGAGTGCGGTCGTCAGCCAGGTGTTGTGTTCTCCTCGTAGCGTTTCTGTGTTCAGTTTAAATGCTGACTAACTCTCTGCAGGCTCCGTGGGTCTCTGGGGACGGCCGAGTGTAAATTTGGCTGCAGTGAAATATCGTTAAAGCTGCTGCTGATTCTCGCCATCAGAAATCTAACACAGCGACGGCGAGCGCATTAATGCTGCATTCAGAAGTCATTAAGCAGTCACTGCGAGTGTGAGCTGACATTGGTTTATGGCTCTGCCTTTTAGCAGGTCGTGAACTTTAGTCTTTAGAAAAGCCTGCGTGCTCTGATAGCAGCAGATGACGAGGAGACCCCAGAGCTGCTGGGTGATCTCCACGCTGCTCCTCGCTGCTCCTCGTTACTCCCACTTTCCCTCCTCCTTGTTCCCTCCCTGACTTACACCCTGCCTGCCCACCAGCCTTTGTTTCATCGATAAAACTTTAAAACATCTAAAAAGCATTTAGTTTTCGTTTATTTGTGACAAGGAAAGCATCAAATTTTTTCATGGGCCACATTATTAGGTACACCTCTGGAGGTATTTTTAATCCACTGCAAACCCCTCTGTCACAAACTTTCCACTCACAAAGGGCCCACGGTTCCAGTTTTTTACTTTATAATTGAGGGTTGGGTGGAGTTAGGGAGGGCATGTTAGCAGGCAGCGAGGGAGAAGGAGGTGAGAGCAGAGACTCTGTTGTAGCTGCAGAGCAGGAGGAAGAGAGGAAACCTCAGAAGGTTCATGGGTGGAGTGAAGTGCAGAGGGTTGGTGTGACTGAGGAGGATGCTGGGAGCAGCTGAAGGAAGAAGAAGAGACAAGAACAATCTAACGGAGCAGACACGTCTTTGATACGGACGTTGGCGAAGCTCATATATGTGCGTGCAGATCATCTGTGTATTAAAGGCAACACGTGAAAGCTTGGTCAAACAGTCAGTAAGCTAAGCTAGCATAAAGCTAAACACAACATGGCTCGTGTTACATATAAGTACAGATTTCCTCCGTGTGGACCTTAAATCATCTGTTTATACAAGAAGTTAACGTGGATTCAAATACAGTCGTGATGTGACCTGGTTTTGACGCAGCTCATCCTGTTATTGCTTCATCAGCAGGATTAAACTGTCTTCAGTGTGTGTGCTCACTCTGACGGTGTTTCTCACCCGCAGCTCGTACATCGGCCGTTCGGGAAACCCCCTCTTCTCCGTCCACGACAACCTGAGTCCTGTGGTGACCACGGAGCAGAACTTTGACAGGTCGGCAGCTTCCCGTCACATTATCCACTAATATCACTGAACAGAGACGCTGCTGTGGTTTACTTTGTCTTCTTTATGCTTTTACACAACTTTTCCTTTGAAGGTGAACGTTCATCTCTGGTTTTGCACTTTTTCACTGTGGCTTCACGACCAAAGCGACCCGACTCCAACAACACAAAGGACGTTGTCCAGATTCATGTTTTCTTAAGTGTTGTCACAAAGACGCTCAGAGTTGCTGGCAGGTCACGTTCCTTCTTACAGGCTCTTTCCCCTGATTTCCACAACACGTTTCAACAAGTTTGTGCAGATCATTGGCTGAATGTGCGTGACCCCCTCAGCTCCAGCGGAGGTCAGCGGTTAATTATCCGACTCATTAAAAGCCCAGATTCCATCGAAACAGGGACTGTGATGGATCTCGCTGTCGCTCCATCAGCTGTTCTGATTTATCGAGTGTTACTTTGTGAGTCTTTGTGTTTTGCTGACAGCTTGTTGATCCCGCCCGGACACCCCAGCAGGAAACGAGGAGACAACTATTACCTGAACAGGTGAGAGCCGATGTCTTCTGCCGCGAGCGCTCGGCGTCCTCCATCGGCGTCACTAACCCTGTTTTTATGTGGGACAGGACGACGATGCTTCGCGCTCACACGTCCGCCCACCAGACGGACCTGGTGAGGTCGGGGCTGGACGCCTTCCTGCTGGCCGGAGACGTTTACAGGCGGGACGAGATCGACGCCAGCCACTACCCCGTCTTCCACCAGATGGAGGGAGTGCGACTCTTCTCCAACCGCCAGGTGCTCAGAATGAAAAAGTTAGACAGGTGACGTAGTGATCATGTGACCCTGACCCGCAGTGTCGTGTCCCTCAGCTGTTCTCCCGGGTGCAGAACGGTGGCGAGCTGTCTCTGTTCGAGCTAGGAGGGCGGCGGTCTCCCGAGAAGCAGGAGACGCACACTCTGGAGGCGGTGAAGCTGGTGGAGTTCGACCTCAAACGCACTCTGACACAACTCGTCTCTTACCTGTTCGGAGCAGGTGAGGCCCCGCCCACCAGGACGTCTGGTTAGGTTTGCTCTTCCTCAAACTTCCTCGTCTTCCTCCTCAGATCTGGAGATCAGGTGGGTCGACTGCTACTTCCCCTTCACTCACCCGTCCTTTGAGATGGAGGTGCGTTTCCAGGGCGACTGGATGGAGGTGCTGGGCTGTGGCGTGATGGAGCAGGAGCTGCTGAACTCTGGTCAGAGCGCACCTACGCACACACACACGATTCTGTTAGTTTGACCTCGGTCACATGAGCAGAGGAGCGCGCTCACCTTACTTCGGGTCTTAAAAACGAAATCACAAACAGACTTTTCCAAAGGTTAATGGTCAAAGGTCAAAGGTCGTGTCTGCTGTGAGCAGAATGTTTCCATGAATGAAACCTCTAGCGTCCAGCAGAGGCTCCAGCAGGGAGTCGGTCCGTCCCACACACCCTCGTGTTGTTCCACGTTACAGCAGAAATAAATGTGTATAGTGGGCGTGTGTTGGGGGCGTGGCCTCTTTCACCTCACCTCTGAGTTGGACCTCTTATTTGTTGTACATTTTCAGTCCATGTAATAGTTTTGTTTTTTTACTTATTTTTAGCTTCTTTACAATTATTTTATCTACACATCTACACACACACACA